CTACAAATTCTTTCGACTCTTGTCTCGTCCAACCGCGATCACCTATCTTTAGACGTCCGGGACCGAGAGTCGCTCCTCAGTAGTGCTCTCGTCTGCCAGAAACTCTTGGAACCAAGTCAACGGGTTCTCTTTCAGTCCATCTATATCGATGAAGGCCAAGTCGCTCTTAAACTTCTTTCGACCTTCAAAAGCACTCCTCACTTGGCCAGATTTGTGGAGTTCCTGCAATTTCAACCGGACAGTGACGTGCCTGAAGGCGGGCGCCATTGGATTCGCGTACATCAAAAGAGGTTATGCGAGCTCTTTCGAATCATCGCCAATTTGAACCGCGTCGAGTATTTTATCATCGAGTTGGAATGCGACGGGCCAAATATCTCCTCAAAGCTCAAGCGGGCGTTGAAGGCTATCTGCAAGTCAACAAACCTCCGTGCTCTACAGTTGGGCCATACATCTCTCGCCTTTCTCGACGGGTGCCCCCCTTTGCTAAAGCATATTGGTATCAATTGTCCACACCTCGACTCCTCTTCTGGACACTCAACTCTCTCATCCACTGTCACGCTCGACAGCTTCTGTATCACTCGCCAGGCCTCATCCGTTCCCTTCTCCGACTATGAGCTTGAGAACTACGCGAACTCTTTCAAGCAGCGATTTCTCGTCTCAAGCTCTCCATTCAAGTTATCGGAACTCATAGATCTGAGGATGTTTGTGACAGTTGCGGAAGACAACGCCAAGAGCTTCGGGTTCGATTTGCTTAACATTGTCCTTAATAAGTGCGAAGAAACCCTGAAATTTCTTTCTCTCCATTTTTGTGAGCCTTCCGACAGCCTCATTTACGTTTTGTTAGCTAAACAGCATATTAGTTCGTCCCTTCATTAAACCCCACAACAGCGACAACACTGTTCCTCTGGATAGGCTACAAAGGTTTCTTGTCTTCGAAATCGTGTCGGATATAGAACACGACACAGTGGAGGATCCGGTGGCGTGGCTGGTCTCGCAGATCCGAACTCTCTGCAACCCGTCGAATCTCGAATTCCTCCGCATCGAACTCAGATGCAAGAGCGAAGAAGAGTTTCTGGCCTATATCGCTCAACATACTCGGCAGTGGCGCGAGCTGGACGAGGTACTGGACAACAGCAAGATCTTCCCCCATCTCATCCGCCTTACCATTGTCTTTGACCGGGACTTCTGCTTCACGTCTGAGAGGCCAATGCACCTAATCAACGATCCTATCTTTCTCGAGGGAATGTCGACCGACGAAGGTTTCAAGCATGTGATTGTTTACTGGATCGGAATCATGCAGCTGAGATCTTTGGCGGAAAAGGGACTTCTCAATGTGCAATGGGTTTGAAAAAAGAAAAAGATGGTTGCGTAGAGCTACGTCTGTTATCTGCCCAAAGCCGCCTTACCTTGTCTGTACCGATTCCGACCACTTACAGCATCTCCTTGATGACACTTTTCCAGCAGTCGTTGGTCTTATGCGAAGGCTATCCTTCAAGGGTTGCTGTGTGTATTTCAGTGGACGGGCTGGTATAATGAGTATATGTAGAGCAAAATTAGCGCAAAGATAGAGAGAGTCTTGAGCGGCACTACCAGAATGAGCCAAAAAGGGAATCCAATACGTTTTTTGGGGGCTGCCTCAGGAAGAAGGGAAGTCTTTGGGTTTTTCCGAGTCGGAGAATGGCATCTTATATAGCCCTTTCGAACCTAACGAACAGCATAGCCAAGGAAAGAAGGGATATGATAGTACCTGCTTGGAGAGCCTTCTATCCTGTGACTCTGTTAGTCCTTCAAAGCTGCCTCAACGAGATCCACCACCACACGTGCGGTCCCAAAAGACGCGACATATCCAGCCCCGGCATGCCTACACATTGAATGCTCCATCAGCTTATCCTTGAACGATTACCGATAGATAATCTCACTCACCCATAGTTGTAGATCACCGCCGACACCTTGATCTGGCCTGCCTCCAGCCTTAGCCCTCCCTTCCTTCCAGGCCTGAAGCCACACCCCTCCTCAATCACAAGAGGCATAATATCCTCCACCGAAGGTTTCTCTCCGTCCTTCCTCAAGTGCTCAGGAACGAGGTCAGGGCGAAACTTGAGCGCCCTCTCCAGGATGTCGCGAGTCGTCTCAGGGCGGGCTTGGGGGTACCAATCGTCGTGACCCATCGTGCCTCCCAGGATAACATTCCCGCTGCGTCGGGGGATGACATAGGTCCACATGTTGACTTCGCTCAGCGTCCCGCCGGATCGTATCCAAGGCGCGTGGATCAGGACTGTCTGGCCTCGGATGGGATAGACGTCTTGATCTTCCACTCCGCCTAGATGTCTTGCTCCTAGTCCGACACACACAACGATGGCGTCAGGGGAGGACGAAGGGTTTTGAGAACAGTGATATCTGCGTTCAGCAGGCTCGAGAAAGGGAGCGACGCCGTTCTCTGCGATTTGTGATAGGTGCTGAACGGACCCACGAACGAGCTTGCCACCACGGGAGAGAAACTTGGACAAGAGGTAGTTGAGATAGTTGGGGACGTCGATAGTGACCGTCTTGAATGTCTCCCCAGCTACTGCGCCATGAACGAGCTCTTCCTCGGAGAGCACTCGGAACTATAGCCACCGAGTTGAGCTCAATCAGCACTGGAAATCATCGTTCCATTGTTCATTTACCTCTGGCTTGTGTTGGTGAGAGCTCGGACCGGGCCTCACATACTTAAGTAATTCGGTCTGCTGCAAGCGCAGAAAACATCCCTCTGCCTCGTTTTCCTCGGAAAGCTTCCACATCTCTGTAAAAGTTTCGCAATCCAGGGCTGATTCGGCTTTCATCAGGATCGTTTGGATGGGGACGCTCGATTCGTACATACCATGTTGTGGGTCTTCTGGAGATGAGAAGCTAACATGGTTGGCACCCTGGTGCGCAGATTAATGGGGTAAAAAAAGGGGCCCCAACATGAACAATGGATACTTACAGCCCAATGACTGGTGTACTTTGCACTCTGGGGATCGGTCGGGAAGATCTCAGCGATGATGGTAATGCGATAGCCCGCTTCTTGAAGCTTCAAGGCAGTCGTCAATCCAATAACCCCTAAGCTGCGTTGAATGTTCAAAGTGTGGCAATCAATAAGCAGTACGTACCAGCACCCAGGACAACGATAGACTTGGACATTTGTATTGTAGATGGCCAAGAAGTTTAGATCCGAGTGTGACGGGTCTTCGAAACAGTGAGCTGCACTTGGGGCTTAACCGAGTCGGAGATACTTTCGGACCTAGGCACACATTAATCCACTATCAATTAAAGATTAGGAGTTCTCGATGTGTCTGAAGCACAAACAGACGTGAATGGCATGTCGGCGATCCACGAAATAAAGATTGATTCGAAATAACCATTGTGCATATGCCGAGTGTGCCTCTAGTCTAGTACCTGCGCACCTCTCTCCCTTGGGTCTCCGGTGTGCTACATCAGTTCTTCAAAGCTGCCTTGACAAGATCGACCACCACACGTGCAGTCCCGAAGGACGCGATGTACCCAGCTCCGGCATGCCTGCAATTGGGATTCTTCATCAGCTTGACATTACTGGTTGATGGTCCCACTTACCCATAGTTGTAGACCACAGGTATCGTCTTATCGCTCAAAGCAGACGCCTTGATCTCGCCCGCCTCAAGCCTCAGCCCCCCCTTCCTCCCAGGCCTAAACCCACACCCCTCCTCCACCACTAGCGGCATAACATCCTCCACCGCCGGCTCCTTCCCACCCTTCCTCAAATGCTCAGGAACAAGCTCAGGGCAGAGCTTGAGCGTCCTCTCTATGATGTCGCGAGTAGTCTCCGGACGAGCTTGGGGGTACCAATCGTCGTGGCCTAGCGTGCCTCCAAGGATAACATTCCCGCTTCGCCTTGGGATGACATAGGTCCACATGTTGGCTTCGCTTAGCGTCCTGCCGAATCGTATCCAGGGTGCGTGGATCAGGACTGTTTGGCCTCGGATAGGGTAGACGTCGTGGTCTTCCACTCCGCCTAGATGCCTCGCTCCGAGTCCGACACATACAACGATGGCGTCGGGAGATGAGGAAGGGCTCAGAGAGGAGTGGTATTTGCGTTCGGACGACCCGAGGAAGGGTGCAACGCCGTTCTCTGCGATTTGTGAGATGTGTTGAACAGATCCACGGACGGTCTTTCCACCGCGCGAGAGGAACTTGGAGAGTAGGTAGTTGAGGTAGTTCGGGATGTCAATTGTGACCGTCTTGAACGTCTCCCCAGCCACCGCGCCGTCGACGAGTTCATCCTTTGAGAGACTTCGGAACTGTTGTGAAGATGAGCATTAGGAGGCCCTAGTATACAAACGATTACCTCTGGCATGTGTTGGAGAGGGCTAGGACTAGGCCTCTCGTACCCAAAGAACTCGGTTTGCTGCAAGCGGAGGAAGCATCCCTCCGCCTCGTTCTCACCAGACAACTTCCACATCTCTACAAAAGTTTCACGATCTAGAGCTGATTCAACTGTTATCAGCATCGTCCGTCACGTAAATCATCGAGCCGTACGTACCATGGCGCGAATCCTCTGTAGCTGAGAAGCTAACATGGTGGGCACCCTAGCGCGTGGGTTGCAGGAGTTAAAACAAGGCGCACAGCACGAACAGTGGATACGTACAGCCCACTGACTGGTATATTTTGCATTCTTGGGGTCGGTCGGGAAGATCTCAGCGATGACGGTGACCCGATAGCCCTCTTCTTGGAGCTTCAAGGCAGTAGTCAATCCAATCACACCTGCGCATCGTCTGTGAGTATTGAGAGGGTCTCTATCGGGGGGCAGTACGCACCAGCACCCAGAACGACAATAGACTTGGACATAATGTGCGGGAGCAGGTTAGAGATCCGAGTCTAGAGTCCAGACGGGTCTTCCGCCGTTGCCAGATGCGAATGACGCTGACAGGTGTCTACATGCTGCAGAGGTGCCTGGCGGTGATAAAAAGGGAAAAAAAAAAATGCAATACGCAATAGGGATCAGTAACCGACGGTGGGGATCGAACCCACAACCTCTGCCTCTGAATTCAATTGAGTTCGAACCCCGCTGGTAGGAAAGCAACGCACTACCATTGTGCTACGACGGCGTATCGAAGGAAAGTTCCTCGGAGTGATTAGTCAAGCAAATGCGGTGCACCGCGTGGAAAGTCGTTCGAGATTAATGACCATATAGAGTGAGGGAATGGCTCGACTTGATTCTCTGCCCACAACCACCACCATCTCTCCTGCCTGAAAGCATATTTCCTGAAGGAACCATGTCGACAGATCTGGGCTTAGACCCAAACGACCCTCTCAGCCTTCTCCTTCAGAACTCTGATTCGTCCATGGAGGACAATGGCTCGGCTCAGAGTGAAAGCCAGAACCCCCAGGACTGGTCACAGCTCAGCTCGCTCTGGGACGGTACAGACGCTGCCAATGCTGCCCTGAAAGCCTACCCGGACCTCATGGACTTTAGCGAGCTTAATTCTCTGCCCATGGACATGGATTTCAATCCAGCACTCGGCATGGAACCAGGGGCCCTGCACTATGACCCTCTCAAGTACAACCCCATGCATTTCTCGTTCGAGGATGCTGCATACCACAATGTCTCGTCAGAGATGATGCCCCCGCAGTTTGCGTTCACCTTCCAGCAGGCATTGAACGCGGGCGCAAGTACCCTCGGCGCGACCTCTTCGACCTCTTCACTCTCCTCCCCCGAATCATCGAACAAGGAGCGCAGACTCAGCGTAACCTCCTCGTCATCATCGTCTGGCGCATCTCTTTCGCCAGTCCTCGAATCGTTGTCCAGCCCATCCTCAAGTTATGGCAGCGCTCCTTCACCATCACCTGTCAAGGTGGAGGCAAGGCAAGGGGAGGCACCAAAGGCTTTGGATCCCGCTGCGGAGCTTGCAGAACGCGTTCGCCAGAGCGCAGGTGTCATGCTTGCTGTCCCAATGTCCGCGGACCTATCAAGCCAAGCGCTCGCTCACTCGATGGCCTCTGCAGGTATGTACACTGCCAGTATAGACTCAAATTAGGTGCTAACATGTCTGCAGGTTCTTCAAATCGACTTGCCATCCCTCAGCAATCTCGCTCAGCACAACCAAGATCCCCCATCTCTTCCAGCTCTTCAGCAGCATCAACACCCCCACCGACAACACCGCCCATGAACACATCCCTTGCCAATAAGCTCAGCATGCACAACAAGCCCCTCTCATCTTCCTCATCTTCTTCCTCTGTCAGCACACCCGTCAGCGCAATGCCTCCCCTCACTGGTATCAGTGGCCGCCCCAAGACATCACACACGACCATCGAACGGCGATACCGCACCAACCTCAACGCCCGCATCCAAAGCCTGCGAATGGCTGTCCCCGCTCTTCGTGTATTGGAAGACAGAGACGGAGGCAACGGGAAGAAGATCAAGAAGAACCTCAAGGATGGCGTGTACCTCAAGGGCGCCGGAATCGGTATCGACACTGAGGATGGAACGACAGTCGATGTGATTGACGAGCGAGGTTTCGTCGACGGTGTCAAGGTGGCGCGCAAGTGCAGCAAGGCCAACGTTCTCGGCAAGGCGGTCGAGTACATTCGTGTATTGAAGAAGCGCGAGACGAGGCTTAAGGCCGAGCAGAATGGGTTGAAGGCTCTCATCTCTGGCCTTGTCGGTGGACCTGCTCTGTTGAAGGACTGGGAACAACGGTGGAGAGAGAACTTTGGTGGCGAGGAGCGAGACGAAGTAGAAGGCGAGGAAGAGGACGACGATAGTGATGATGAAGATGGAGAAGAAGATGAAGAGGCTGTCGGCAAGAAGAGGAAACGCGCCAAGACGACTGCTCCGGCCCCGAAGAAGCCTGCTGCTGAGCGTAAACCTGCAGCTGCCCCTAGTGGTCTGGCTGAGCTTGCACCTGGTGCACCAGCTCCAGAGAAGAGAAAGAGAGGACGCCCGAGGAAGGTCGTTCCTCCACCTATGCCTGTTGCGACTCTCGCTCCCCATGTTTCGCACCAACAGGCTGCTGCTATGGCTCAGCAGCAACATCAACCTCATCCCGACCAGATGATGCATGCTCCCGACCATCGTCAGCAAGCGCCTCAGTATATGATGGCCGTCTTTGCCCTCTTTTCATTCTTCAACTCGCCCTTGACAGCCCGGTATACTTCTCAAGGAGGAGCACACCAGCATAGCGGCATGGTGTTAACACCACCTCTGGCACTCGCTCCCGAGATTGTTTCGCAACTCGTGCCACCACCGGCGGAGAGTTCAAGTCGATTCTTGGACATTTCGTGGGCGTGGAAAGACTACCTCCAATTCATCCATCTCGCTGTGTCTGTGCTGGTCCTGGGTAGCTTCCTCTGGAGCTGGCTCGGATTCACTTTGAGAAAGAGGAAGGAAGTGAAGGAGGTTGTGACCACACCAACTGCGCTCACACCGATTGATGCAAAGACCAACTGGTCTTCTGTTTGCGACGATGCTGTCCTTCAAGGTACCTTTCATTCAAGAGTGTTTAGCGTTCCATTGCTGATAATCTCCTTAGGCAAATCGAGTTCTCTGTCTTCCCTTTCCCTCGCTCGTGCCTGCCTCACCCTCTCGTCCAAGACAGCTTCTGTCTCTCAGCTCACCTCCGCTTCCCTACTTTTCAACAACGCCAGTGGCGCTCTCGGTTTCGCCGGACGTCTCAAGGCTCAGTCGCTCTGGAACGCTGCCAAGACCCAGTCCGAGCTCGTCCAAACCCCTCGCAGCACCAAGACTCCCGTTAAAGCGTTCGAGAAGCTCGTCATGGAATCATTCCAGCTGGACGATGCCACCAAGGCTCTCGCTGAAGCTTCACCCAAGGACAAGACCAACGGCGAATCCGCCCTCACTCCCATCGAAGTCCTCGGCGCGACTATCGTCAAGCAGCGTGTCAAGCAACACCTGGGCGCTCTCTTTGTCGAGGTCGTCAGCTTGTCCCAGGATGAGATTGTCGAGCAGGACAAGGACGAATCCAAGAACCTCGAAGCTGAAATCGGCAGGACCATCGACGCTGCTAAAGAACTCGGAGGCTCGATCGAAGAACTTGGATGTACGCTCGAACGTGTCTGGAAGTCGTCCTCTGCCACTCTCCTCGACGACCTCCACCTCTCCGACGTTGCCGACGAGAGCAGCGAGGGTGGTGTCGATGGAGAGATTAGAGCGCTCCTCACCGCGCTGGTTCTGTACAAGCGGATGTTCAGTGGCTCGAATACCCCAACGGTGTCGAGCTTGTTGATTAGCCCGCCGCCGTCCCCCACTGGAGCGAGGGTGTCGAAAGAGGGCCAGGCGTTGCTTTCGTTGAGAAAGGCGTTGGGGAGTCGGGTGTTTGAGGATGGGGATCGGGAGGGGTCGATGGAGGATGCGAGAGACAAGGTTGTGGATTTGATTGTGGATACGGAGAGGAGAGGCAAGGGGTTTCCTTGAGTAGCTTCTCTGTCTGTCTTTCTCATTACATTTGAGGAGTTGTTTGGAGTTTTTATTTCGCTTTTATATTCTTTGTCATGGTCCTCATGGATGTTACGGTTTATCCTTACTTACAAGTGCCGGATTTTTTCCCGTCTATTTAAGACTTGCTCTAGTGTACACTTATCATTACTTACTTAGTGAATCTTTCTCCGTTCTGAAGTCGCTTTCTTTCTCGAAACATGAATAGATTGTTAACTCTCTTCATCCTGGGGATTCAAGCTCGAAGCGTCGCCTGAGAATCATGTCTGAGCATCGCGTACTCCTATTTTGAGGGGCGCTAAAGTCTGTTCATTCGAGGGCACACCTAGAGGAACGTAACCCTTCGTCTATGGTGTGCTCAAGATATTCCCTTTGTGTCGTATTCAGCTCGCCTATTGTTTTCAGGATCCTGTCTGAGGGCGACATGGACGTCATTACCACGAGCTGGACGATCGTGAGTTTGAATGCGTTTCTTGTTTGATCGACGACAATTCTCTACCGCTCAGAACAACAACCGTCGCGCCTCGAACATATGCTCCACGAAGGCGTGTACTCAATTGCTGACCTGCTCAGAGTGATCACTGGAATAGACTCAGGTTTATTCAGGACCAAATAGAGGAAATGCCGATGAGACGTGACGATGTGTGTTTTGGTTCCAGGGGGCCAGCCCTTCGCAGCCACTCCTCGTGGGGCCCCCCAATTCTCGTATTGTCTTGTGTCTGGGATGGGTGTCGGAAGTATAAGTCCGTGACGAACAAGAATGTAAACGGCGATAGTTAAGAGACGAGCCCATTCGCCCTCTCCACTCTAAGCAACTACTACCAGTACCACTTGACCGTCAAGATGTCCATCATCGAGCAGACACTGGGTAAGCTTTCTTCTGTTCTAGTAGCCTGAGTTATTGACTGACAGTATTTGAAAAGGCGGAAGTTACCTTGGCACACTTTGTACGAGCTCCCGTCTTCAGCTCGGGTCGTATACTGACGCCGGGAATAGTGCAGACATGGATTTATGGGATCTTGACGTATCAGTACCTAACTTACTTTGCCTCTGGTATGTTTCATTTGGCTGGAGAGTCGACGTGTTCTTATCCTTCCTTTAGATTACCGAGACCCAATTTGGATCAGGTCGGTCGAGTGCTGCCGGCCTGAGACTCTGTGCTTATGGCTTGAACAGGGCTCCCATGGGGTTTTTGCTGCTACTCAACACGACACACGTAGCTTTGTGAGTCCTCCAAATTCCCCAGATGGACCATTGAGACTGATGAGTCCCATGCAGCTCGATCTATGTCGTTTGGTACTATGGGTATGTCCTGGTGGCTTCGTGATCGTTCGTTCGGCGGCTCACATGCAGGATGTAGGATCGCAAACTTTGGCAATGCGGAGCTCCTCTTCGGTCGTACGTCCAGCAAGCTGCATCCTGTTCACGAACTTAAACTAAAGTTATATTTAGGCGAACTTGTATGGGCCGCTCTCGCGGCGTATCTCGCGATCCCCCTTTCAGCGTTTGTGGCGCAGATCTTCCTCATCTTCAGGTGCGTGATGGGTATTAAAGACCGAGTAGGATGGCTAATCTCGTCAACTCTTGAGTAGATCGTACCGTCTACTTGAACCGTATGCTTGGAGGTTGATCCCGGTCGTGTTCCTCTCTCTG